AAAAAAAAAAAAAAAAAAAAAAAAAAACTAAGTCAACTGGGGGCAAAAATGTCATTGTGCCCCTCCAGCCCTATAGGGGTCCAAGGAGAATCCCGTCACATCCCCTGCAAAAGAGTTAGAGAGAAATTGGAAAGGAGTTAGCCGCGAAGATTATCGGACCATCGTCGAAATCCACCTTCAGACGAGACTTGTACAAGGACTGAGAAGTTAGCGAGGCCGACGCTCCGTCAAGACCCAAGAACATTTCGCGAGGTAAGGTTCTAAACGACATATCTCCGATCTGAGTTTTTCCTATGTGAATCGAGTCCTAAAATGCTGAAATATTCACCTAGGAACAACTCTACGCACGATCTATGAAGAAGTTTGGCTGAGACCTCAATCCGAAGGCGGAGATCCGAGAATCGTCCAAGAACGGTGAGCAAACTTCCGACGTTCTTAACTCGTCTGGTAGTCAAGCAAAAATTACAAAGAAAATACTAGGGCATAGCCCGTAACACGATCTAGAACTTTGCCGAAGAAACCATATCGATCTGATCTACGGATCGAAAGATATGAAAATCGGAAAAGGGAACTGTCACAGCCCAATATTTTACTACGGACCGTGACTAACGACACGACACAAATGCACGAAGAGATTTAAATATGAAATAAAGAAAATCATCAAATTCCAATAAAGTTTTTCGAACGACAAACACAGAACATAAGACCATTTGGAAAATAAATTTCAAAAGAATGCAAATATAAAAATAAAGACTAAGACTGGACTGACGCCCCGGGACAACCCATTCCTCTGTGACACTTCCCGTCTGATCACGCCCACTCTTGACCTACACCTCGCACTCCTGAAAAAAAAGGAAAACATAGCAAGGATGAGTATAAAAATTATACTCAGTAAGCCACCTACTTGTAGGCTCTCTTCGCATCTTAATTTAACAGGTTACCACGGTTTCCTGTTTCGGTTCTAGGACATCTGGTTCTAATCTTGGTCCCTTGGGGTTTGCTCCTTGGGTTTCACTGGTTCTTCGTTCTTTCATTAAACGCCTAGAGGTTCTTTATGCCAAGCTAATATGGTCGGTATCTCTCTATGAGGTGCTACCTCTACATGGCTATCTAAGACTACATGGTACCTAGCCTAGGGGTGTGCTGAGTACCCCTACGCCCATCTAGTCCCCCTATGGGGGTGCGACCCAACCCGTTCCCATGCAGCTAATGGGCTGTACGACGTGGGGACACATTTCCCATGCGAAATGGCTAAGAGCAGTAAGGACTGATCAGGGATCCCTTGGTCCTCCCATGAAGCTATAGATACCGTTCACACGCTAGCAATCTATGAACACTTTGGGGTACCTTCTTGCCGTGGTAAGCCGCTAAGTTTCTAGGGGAAAATTAAGTCTGACTAGAGCGACATATCGCTCCTAACAGAAATTCCCTAATCTTATCCTAGAAATGGGCCCTAGCAATTAACCGAGGGTGCATGCAATCTTCTTCTAACATCATAGTATGTAATTCATGCAAACTAGGCATACCGGCTCAACGGGGCGATGACCTCCATCAAGCACCCAGAGCACGAAGTTCGCGCTCAATGGGGCGAATTCGTCCATCAAGCACCCGAAACCCGGCATACACAATTCTAACATAAATTAACGCATGCATACATACAGCGGAAGCTTAAAGCATACAGCAACACTCATGTAATTTATCCAATACAATCACAACAGTTAATCTGACTAATAATTTACATAGAGAGCTAATCTGAAGCAGAACTACTAGCATGCATGCAATCCAAGCGAATCCTACAAGTATTTCTTTCTAAATACCGGGTGGTGAGTTACCTGGTTGACGCGTGCCCTTCTGCTAGCGTTTCTTTGCCCGTGAGGCGTCCAAAAATACTGATTTCTCTAAATTAGGTCCGTATTCATGTAAAAACAGTATTAGAACTGGAACCGGGACAAAAATCGGGCAAACAAAAAACAACTGGGCCAAATTGGCCGTTCCACGCGCGCTCACACGCCAGCAGCGCGCTGGGAGTGCGTAGCCACGCTCGCAGGAAGACGCCAGTCGCAGGCTGCACGCGCGCCTGCCACGTGAGCTCGCTTCCGCGTAGTCGCGGGTCGGCCGGCCCGGTCCGGTTTGGTCGGCTCGGCTCGCGTTGCGGTTCGGCCCGGCTTGCAGGCGACACGTGTCGACGCCTCGATGGAGCTGCGTTGCTCCAGCCGATGGTCGACGCGTGTCCGACGCCTGTCGCTGCCCTCCGCCGCTCGCCGATCGCCTTTTTTTTTTCTCTCTCTCTTTCTTCTTTCTTCTCTGTCCTCTGAAAACCGAAACCCAGTCTGTTTTTTCCGATTTTCATATCTTTCGATCCGTAGATTGGATCGATATGATTCCTTCGGCAAAGTTCTAGATCGTGTTACAGGCTACGTCCTAGTATTTTTTTTTGTAATTTTATTCTTGACTATCGGATGATTTAAGAACGTCGGAAGTTCACTCACCATTCTCGGACGACTGTCGGATCTCTGCCTTTGGGTTGAGATCTCGGCCAAACTTCTTCACAGACCGTGCGTGAGTTGTTCCTAGGTGAAGATTTCAGCATTTTAGGATCGGTTCACGTAGGGGAAAATTCAGATCTGAGCAATGTCGTTTAGAAACCTTACATCGCGAAATGTTCTTAGGTTTTGACAGAGCGTCGGCCTTGCTAGCCTCTCAATCCTTGTACGAGTCTCATCTGGAGATGGATTCCGGCGGTGGTCCGTTAATCTTCTCGGCCGACTCCTCACTGATTTCTCTCTAACTCCTTCTTTCTTTTGCAAGGAATCTGACGGGGTTCTCCTTGGACCCCTATTTGGGCTAGAGGGGCAAAATGACATTTTTGCCCCTCAGTTGACTTAGCCCCCCGCCTTTTTTTTTTTTTTTTTTTTGCGTTACAGGAACTGTGGTACGAATTTCAAAGGACAGAGAAGAAAGAAAAAAAAAAGGGGGGTCGACCGGCGAGAGGCGGTGGGCGGCGTGACAGGTGCCGGACACGTGTCGACCGTCGGCCGGAGCAACGCAGCTCCAGCGAGGCGACGACACGTGTCGCCTCCAAAAAAAGAAAAAAAACAACCCGAGCCGAACCGCAAACGCGATTCAAGCCGAACTGAATCGGACCGGTCGACCCGCGACTGCGCAGAAACTGCCGTGTGTGCGGCCTGCGACTGGCGTCTTCCCGCGCGCATGGCCCTCGCACTCTCAGCGCACTGCTGGCGCGTAAGCGTGTGTGAAATGGCCGTTTGGCCTAGTTGCTCTCTGTTTGCCCGATTTTTGTCCCGGTTCCAGTTCTAATACTGTTTTTACGTCAATAGGGACCTAATATAAAGAAATCAGTATTTTTGGACACCTCACGGGTAAAGAAACGCTAGCAAAAAGGCACGCATCAACCAGGTAAATCACCACCCGGTATTTAGGAAGAAATACTTGTAGGATTCGCTTGGATTGCATGCATGCTAGTAGTTTTGCTTCGGATTAGCTCTCCATGTAAATTATTAGTCAAATTAATTGTTATGATTGTATTGGGTGAATTACATGAGTGTTGCTGTATGCTTTAAGCTTCCGTCATATGTATGCATGCGTTTAATTTATGTTGGAATTGTGTATGTCGTGTTCCGGGTGCTTGATGGACGAATTCGCCCCATTGAGCGCGAACTGCGTGCTCTGGGTGCTTGATGGAGGTCATCGCCCCGTTGAGTCGGTATGCCTAGTTTGCATGAATTACATGCTATGATGTTAGAAGAAGGTTGCATGCACACTCTATTAATTGTTAGTGCCCATTTCTATGATAAGCTTAGAGAATTACTGTTAGGAGCAATATGTCGCTCTAGCCAGACTTAATTTTCCCTTAGGAACTTAGCGGTTTACCACGGCAACAAGGTACCTCAGGAGTGTTCATAGATTGCTAGCGTGAGAACGGTATCTATAGCTTCGTGGGAAGACCAAGGGTCCCTAATCCGTCCTTACTACTCTTAGCCATTTCGCATGGGAAATGTGTCCCCACGTCGTACAGCCCATTAGCTGCATGGGAACTGGTTGGGTCGCATCCCCCGACTATATGGGCGTAGGGTTATTCAGCACACCCCTAGGCTAATTACCATGTAGTCCCAGATAGCCATGTGGGTCGCGCCCCCCATAGGGGGACTATATGGGCGTAGGGGTATTCAGCACACCCCTAGACTAGTTACCATGTAGTCCCAGATAGCCATGTAGAGGTAGCACCTCATAGAGAGATACCGACCATATTAACTTGGCGTAAGGAATCTCTAGGCGTTTAATGAAAGGAGGATGAACCGGTGAAACCCAAGGGGCAAGTTCCAAGGGACTAAGATTAGAACCAGATGTCCTAGAACCGAATTAGGAAACCGTGGGAACCTGTCAACTTAAGATGCGAAGAGAGCCTACAAGTAGGTGGCTTATTGGGTATAATTTTTATACTCATCCTTGCTATGTTTTCCTTTTTTTTAGGAGCGCGAGACATCGGTCAAGGGTGGGCGTGATGGAGACGGGGATTGTCACAGAGGAACGGGTTGTCACGGGGCGTCAGTCCAGTCTTTATTTTTTTTTATTTGCATTCTTTTGAAATCTGTTGTTTGTCGTCGAAAAACTTTATTCGAATTTAAGGATTTTCTTTATTTCATATTTAAATCACTTTGTGCATTTGTGTCTTGTCGTTAGTCACGATCCATAGTAAAATATTGGGTCATGACAAAATAATAGTAAAAATGTTAAAATTTCGAACTACGTTCACGTTTAGTAATGGTCTACAAATTTGAGTATGGCTCAATTAGACATATCTTCTCAACCAAAAAGTCGGAGTTTCAATTTTCAAATCGATAAATGTATCTTTTTCTAAGCTTAAAAGAAAGTGAAGAGAGAATAAAATCCATGTGAGCTAAATTGAGATGAAGACCATTTTGATATATAATTATAAAAATTAAAAAAGAAAAAAATATATATGATAAATGTGAGTTCGGTTTTACGCCATTTTTGTCCAAGCCCACAACAAAAAGGCCCATTTTAATTTTGAGACGGAGATATTTGTGTGGTCCCAATGTGTAGGAGGCCCGATATTGAAAGGGGGAAGGAATAAAAAAATAAAATTAAAGTTGGGGCATTCCGAGAATTGAACTCGGGACCTCTCGCACCCTAAGCGAGAATCATACCACTAGACCAAATGCCCAATTGTTGATGGATTTAAGACTAAATTTAATTTAAATATTAAAACTCTTTTAATTGATTTCTTTAGAAAAAAGAAAAGATGGTTGCAGTGCATACAGACAAATAATGTCATGAAAAGACTATTGTTGGATTAAATTATAAAACTCAATCATAAGTGTTGTCCATATTTGTTTGTTTCTTGACCAAGCACTAATTACCTTGAAGAATATATGGACATAGCCTATACTTCTCGTGTTTCATTCAATCTTCAATCTTCAATCTTCAATCTTCAATCTTCAATCTCCACGAGATGTTTTTTTTTCTTTCTATGACTCCAATACAATACCAAAATTTTGAGATTTTTTTTTAAGAAAGATTTATTGGTATGATTCTAGAATTTTTGTAAAATCAAATAATACATTAAATTAATATAACATATTGAATTTAATTCCCCAACATAGATCTACTTTTTAAAATCTCATTTAATATATAACGTGAACTTATCAATGCTATATTTGGATAAATGCCTACATGTATTGTTGCATTCTATCCAATTTATCCATCATAATCGATCAGAGTCCTACGTAGGGAGCTAAAATATTCATCATGGAGATCAGAGTTCACATTTCAAGTCCAAAGTAATGAGAGGTTGATGAGTGCAACATTCAATAATCAAGCATGATAACAAAGATTTGCCAATGCAGCGACTTGTGTGAAAAAGAATATGCATACAAATATTAGTAAACATCACAAACACCATCAGATAATGTGCTAAAATATGGATACTCATCTTAGCAAGAAGATTTTCCCTCTGTTGGCTCATTTCTTCAACACACTGCAGAGGAAGCAACTCGATTAGAGCTTCAGCTAAAATATAAACAGTTTCGATATGTACACGACAAAATCTCTAAAGTAAAGGCAATGGTTCCAGCCAGAGAAATCATGAAATCTCCATCTTTGATTCTAAAAGGAGCATCACCTTCTTTTAATATAATATAACCAAGTATATTATTACAAGGGATCATTCCTTGCATTATTATACCCAAGGCCTACTCTCTCTAGTTCTGGGCAAGGGTTTGAGTTACAAGCTTTTCAACCTAAAAGACTGAACCTAGGACCTTGAAAGGTTATTTATAGACATCCCAAACCCTTGCACTAATAGGGCATCCCTCGGGGTAACAGGAATCTCGTGTTTTATAATATGAGGTTAACCAGTGTAATACATAAAATGAATAAGTAAAAATCCAAATTGGCATAGATTTCAACAATTCCCCAGAAGATCTGACAGAGATTCCAGTTAATACTAGTACAGTTGAACATGGAAAGCTCGATCAACTAGATAGGATCGGAATCATGAACTTGTATAATCACAGTAACCATACAAAATTAATATAATCTTTCTAAGGATATATGGATGGGAGAGCAGTTAAGACCCTATTACAGTTTATAATTGATATGAGATTGTATGGGACAGCACCTAAGGCCATTCCCCAAGAGAATTTTGTGATTCCCATTCACCATCACAACCCAAAAGAGGATCCCAATTGATTGCACATTCGACAAGAAGCCAAGCCTATCAATTGTCAATTAACCAATACCTCCAGAGATCTAGGCTTCTCTATTCTTTTCTGATGCCTATTCCTCAGATAGTTTTAAGAAGAGACTTAATCCAAGAAGAACACCAACACTAGTGATGAAAGAAAGGAGAAGATAGAGAGAAAGAAGAAGAATAGATAAATGTTGCAGTCTCATTTCCCAGCGCAACATGTATCAAATTATAGATATGTACGTCAGATTCATTATGTGATGGAAATAGCAAACATAACACATGAGGAGAATTGAAAAAAAAAAATATAGAAATGCTCAATGATTTTAAGTATCCTTCTTCTTTAGGGGCAATGAGGTGGAATGTAAGAACTTACTTGTATAGGTAGGCAGCAATACCCAAGATTATGCACAATAAAATGATATCAATACAGAAATTTCTGCTGGACCTTAGCTGTAGAAAAATAAAGTTCACATTTGATAAACTTACAAATGTGTGACAAATATACATACAAATCTAGGCATTGTGCATGCACAAGGGTATACATTTCAGGAACTGACGATAAAGATTAAATAATAGAAATCAGAGGAACAAATCAAAACCTGGTTAACTGTGTGCTTTAATCTGACGTTGGTATTCTTAAGATCAGATGCAGCCTTGTCCACCTGATATGATACAAAAAGCACATTTGGTAATGATTATAAATATGAACACTGAATTTGCAAGTACATATCTACATATATGTATGTATAAGTAAAAAATATATAAATATTATGAGAGAGATATTGTTACCTTAGTGTCGATCTCGTCCATCAAAGGAACTTGCCTGTCTATTTCCTGCAAATAACATCCCACAATCACAATCTACTAATATGTAGATATGGAAAAAGGGAAAATTGGGGCATAGAAGGTAAGTAACCTCATTCATATCATGAGCCATGTTCTTCAGAGTGTCCAACCCTTCTGATATCATGTCCAATCCTTGATCCTGCATATGCATCAAATCGAAGGGTTTAAATGACAGCCATTGACTAGAAAGCAGGTTCTTGAATAAAGAGACTACACTAAGGGATACATATGATTAACCTGCTTCATTTTCCGCATTTCATACTCTTGCCTGAACTGACTCGACTCCTCAGTGTGTTGGAAGTACTCATCATCAAATCGCCCGTCTTTATCAATTCAAATGTGCAGATCAAAGATATGATTAATTCATGGTATCCACAACTAAAAGTAGAAAGATTCACAAAAATGGTTGAACAAAATTTAACAGAGTTTAATGCATCACCTGAGTCAAATTTTATTTCAGTGCGTGAAGCAGAGGATGTCCAACCCCCATTCTTCTTCGTGGAAGTAGCAGTCCCATCTGGTATGGCTTGAATCCTTTCGGGCAATGCAAGCACCAAATCATTTCGAGTGGTAAGATCTTCAGTTGATAGCCCCTTCACCTGTAAATAGATAATGAGACCATCGATGCAATCTAGAGATAGAAGATATGCAATTCAAATCCAATGGCTTAACTTCAATAAAGTATAAAAATTCCAAAACCAAACTAAATGCATAATGAATTTAAGGAACCAATCCTTCAATCACAATTTTCTCATCAATTCATATGAAACATCTAGGTTTCAAGATGGAATTTGAGTAATCAGAGTAAAATTTAAAAATATTTGTAAAGACAATGAACACACACCCTCTTTAGAGCCAATCTCTGCAACTTGGGGATCTCCTCCAGTAATCGAGCCTTAGTACGACGAATCTCCGCATTCAACGCCACCACCGACGCCCTATTCTTTTCTCTGGAAGCATCCTCCGCTTTCTGCACAACAAAATAACACCGAAAATAGAATCCAATCCTCCTCGCCGCAAAATTAAAATACTCAATCCTCTACAAATTACTCCAAACCACAAGTAATCCACTGAATTAAACCTACATCAGAAAAATAACAATCTACCAACTTGATAACCTCGATTCCCCTATCCAGCAGCACAAGGAGTAGAAACTGAGAAATTGACTGAGGGATCGGAGTCAAACCTGGAGGGCAGCTTCAATGTCGGCTTCGACAGTAGCATAAAGTCGAGCAAAGGCATCGTCGCCGGAGACATTGAGATCCCTCTGCTTCTCTACGTCGTATTTGTCATACTTCTGGCAGATCGCATCTACTCTGGTCAAAAGGTCGATGACGCTCATCTTGGATTCTTCGCCTCCGTGCTCCGGTAGGCTTTCGGTTGACTTACAGCGGTGAGATCGGTGAGAGATATCTCCAGAAGCTGTCTAAACAGAATTTCTTCCAATTATTTCCTCGCTGTGACAAAAGCTTTGAAATTAATATGAAAATTAATTAATTAAACTTTTATTTTCCAATTTTTCTCTATATTAAAGTGGAATATTATATATATATATATATATTTTTTTTTTTTTTTTTACTTAATAAAAATTATACGCACAATAATAATTAGTTTTAAATATCTGCCTCTTATTTGAATTGCATTATTTTAAGAAAAAAAATGTTAAATTATAATTTTTAGTTCATTTTTTTATTTTATTAAATAAAATTATAAAATTATGAGAGACTAAATTGGTATAAATTAAATTAAGCTCACTGTTTTAGTTGTTTGACCCAGTTTCCCAGAGACTCTCTTCGAGACGGTGTCCAGATTGTTACGCATTTGGTCCGGGTTGGAACTTACCCAACAAGGAATTTCGCTACCTTAAGACCGTTATAGTTACGGCCGCTGTTCACCGGGGCTTCAGTCGCCGACTCCCCTGTCATCAGGTCACCAACTTCCTTGACCTTTCGGCACTGGACAAGCGTCAGCCCCCATACTAGTGATAGGGACCACATTACTACCTTTAGACGAAGTATGACGTACATGTACCTATCAGTGCAGTAAGACACTATGTCGATGCGGTTAGGGGTCTCCAACTATTCCCTAATAGTAATCTTATCAAAAGCATGCAAAGTACTACATAGAGCCGACATACACGAGGGTCGCTCCCTCTTGTGTCGCATTTTCATTGTGAGACTATTAGGGTTAGGTTGATTACCGTGGTCGTGGTGGTTATATGTAGCAGATAACAGATCAAAGTTGGAAATAAGACAACATACACTGGGAATAGAACGCAATTACCTAGATACCTCGAACTCGGCTACCCGTTAGCCTAGTTAGCGAGCTCTCTTAGACTAGCAAGTTAGACAGAGATTTGTTAGGCTAAGGTAGAAAAGTTAGAAGCAAAAATAGATGAGTAGAACCTAAATGCTAAGTCTAAGCGAGCCTACGACATGGTTCGATGGTGCTTGGGTACAAGTAGGAGCTCCTAGGGGTTTGATGTTGATTGTACACCAAGCAGTCGATCATTGTGAGACATTGAATCTACGACGGTTCTTTGAATAAGTTTTCTATAATATTGCAAGAGATGGTTGGGAGGAATCACTGGAGTCGGGTCCTCCTCGTTGTGTTCTTCAGGTGAATTTGCACAAGGCCTATGATTTTGACAATTGAGATTTCGTTGTTTAAGGTATCGCTCCAGTTTGTTATTAGATTAGAGATAACATTAAGTACCCGATTTTTGATCTTGGTGAAGATTCTTTGCTGATTTTCTTGGGCTGGTGGGGGCTGTATTTATGTGTGTGTGATGGTTATGGGGTTTTCTTTCTTCATCAGTGTGGGTGAATCTGGCTGACATTTTGTTTCGCTGACGATTTAATATGGTTTTTAGTAGTGTGATCAAGATCGTCTGAGGTATGTATAAATTTTCTTGCAAAGGTTCGAAGCCTTATACGTGTTCTTGATACGTAGAGGTTGGCTGACTTTTTGGGGTTTCTAGGCTTCTCTTGCGTTACCTAGGCCTTCTTTTGATATCGGGACGATTGACATATCAAGATTGCGAGCCTTTGCTAGAGCGAATTACTGCTTGTGCTAGTAGTTGGGTTGTACATTCCCTTTCCTGTGCTAATAGGTTGCAACTCATTCATTATCTTTTTAGAGTTTTAAGGTGTTCTATGTCAGTGTCTTTGTGCTTCTTGCTCGGGCTATCAATCAGGTTGAACATGTCGCCTAGGTAGTCTGGGCAAATATTTTCCTTCCACATAGGGAGGATGATCTTGGTATTAGGCATCTTAAGTCTGAGAACTTTGTTACTGTGATGAAGCTTCTTTGATTTTGATAGTTAGGGCTAATTCCCTATGGGTAACCTGGGTTCAGGCTTATATGCTGCAAGATTGCTTCTATTTGGCCAGTGAGGCCTTCTGTGCAGGGGTCTTAATGTTTCATCACTATATTGAGCCCTAATCTCTCGAATTAAAGCTCCTCTTGAGAACATTAGAAACAATCAAAAGCACATCAATAACAATGGCTTTCAATATTTTGAACCTAACATAGTGATTGAAATTAGGGTTTCTAACAACGACGAAGTAAATGGTCAAAATCACTAATTATTATTCTAAGTTTGGGGATAAAGGAAGTAGTAGTTCTCGTGTATTAAGAAGTTTGAAGGGAAAAGCTTAGGGAAAAGTCATAGGCTGGTTCTGTAAACAATTCTTTTTGTATGATAGGAAAAGAAAGAAAAAGGAAATGAGGTTGTTTTGTAAGATGAAAAACAAAACTCATATTTTACCAATGAAATTTGTGATTGACTCATTTCATACGAAATGAATATAATGTATTTGTAACAGCCCAAGCCCACCGCTAGTAGGTATTGTCCTCTTTGGGCTTTCCATTTCGGACTTCCCTTCAAAGTTTTTAAAACGTGTCTACTAGGGAGAGATTTCCATACCTTTGTAAAAAATGCTTCGTTCTCCTCCCCAACTGATGTGGGATCTCACAATCCACCCCCCTTCGGGTCCCAGCGTCTTTGCTGGCCACAGCCTCATGTCCACCCTTCTATGCCTTTTTCGTCCAATCATGGCGAACTCTAAAGGGGCCAGTTTAGCCATTGAATTTGGGATTTCTTCATGGTTTTGTGGAACTCGTTGGAGACAGGACTGATTTTGATTAAACTGATGGATAAGGTTATTTGGTTAGAATGATGTTACCTTAAATAGACAAACTTCTATAACGAAAAGGAAATAATCTAATCTATTACATTCAGAAAATTTGAAATCTCAACTTCAGAGCTCTTCAAATTTCTACAATTAGAATGTAAAATCTATGATCTTTTTGTAGAAGTTTCAAGATTTAGTTTGCCTCTTCAGGAATTATCTTACCGTTTTGGCTCTCAACACATCTGTATCACTTTATGTCATAAAGGAGATCGGTTGATGTTTCTATAGGAATTCTCCAGTAAATTCTCTCTTATTCCCTAAAGTTTTAGATTTGCGGATTTGACTAGACTCTAGAGCATTCTTTTTTTTTTTTTTTTAATGTTCAATAGTGTCCTTTGATGGCGTTTCTTACTTTTCCATCCCTTGTCTTGGAAAACGTTTTTGATTGTAAGATTGAGCTATATCTTGTCCTGCGCTCATCCAGTAATTGTTTTCTAGTTTAGAACAAAGTAATCTTGTGAATGTAATTTATGCAATGTGAGGGAGCTAGTTTTTTCCCCATCTAGGCTTAAATTTAATCACTAGGAGTATTATGAGTTTTGCTGGTTTTTTCCCCATCTAAGCTTTATATTTCATGTATGGTTATCTGTTTTAAATATTCATTTGGGGACATGCTTAATAATGAAATCTTTGATTGGATTAATTGATAATATATGGTATAGTGGAATTCAATTATCTGTCAAAGGGACAACTAACAAGCTGTAGATCTAGATGCACTTTAAGGTCTTGGGTTCAAAATTGTGTAGCCGTTTGTCTAGCAATCTTTATGGGATTCCCAGCAGCAAGTATGGTAGAATTAGACAATGTTCTGTAGCAGAGAATCTTCAAGGGATATTTGATTGATACTCTGAGATAATTCCCCTGAAGCTTTTCTCAGAGCCATATATGTTGGTTGATCCTAGGTTTCTCTCATACTAATTGTGAGTGAAAAGTCACATAAAAGGTCCACAAACAAGCCCTATTTGATCCAGTAATTTCCTTGCATCAAGTTTGAGTATGTAGAATCCAAAAAATAGTGTTTAACTGATGTTTCAAACCTGTTCAGACTTATATTCATATCTGTAATTTGGACAATCCATGCAGTGATATTGTAGAAGGTGTACAATTATATACATTTCGCTTCTTCACCTCTTGGTGTTGCAACTCCGAGCAACTAGAACACCGGTTGGTGGACTAGTCATCACCAACTGGCATCGGCTATGCAACCAGTATGAGTAATGGATGGCACCCAGTGAAGCTCTAACTCTGAAAGTTCCTCTGATGTTATAGATAACTTTGTTGTTCTGTACCTGTCGTCGAAGTATGAACCCGGAATTCTGTGGTAAGTAAACCAGACTGGATATCAGATGAACAGGTTGTAACCTCACTTCTCTCTTTCTTTGACTGAAAGGCTGGATTGCTTGAGTTGCTATAAGTCTATCCCCAAAAAAGAGCTCTATGTCTGCGTTTTCGTATCTTACATCGATTCTGTGATTCGGGTTGGTGAAGTTTGCGAGAACGGTGAAGTCCCCATTGAGATATTCAGGTGCGTCGAAGTAGATGGTGCTGAGGCTCGCATTGGGTATGTCAAACATAGGATTTCTTGGTCTAACAACCAAGAAAATGATCAAAGTTGCAATTCCAAGGAAGATGAGGAGAAGACTAAAAATGAGACACAAGATTGCAAAACACCATATAATTGGATTGGTTTGGCGTGGCCGAGCTTGCTGTAGTAATTGTGATTTTCTGTAGTTACTGGAATCTATGGTATTTGGATTCAGCAGTGGAGTGTGTGGTCTTGTAGCTTGATCTTGTATGACTATTTGCTCCAAAGGAGTCAGGTCTGCCTGTCTTGAAGGTGAAGCAGCAGGGATAAGAGCAGCAGATGCTTGAGTGACTGCTGCTGAGGCAGGGGATGGTATGGTTGTTGGTAGAGCAGCTGCTTCATGGGACGGTGAACTTGCCGATGGAGGCACGAGAGGGCTCGGCGGTGGCGGTGGCAGCGGAGGAGAAGGAGGAGGAGATAGAGGAGGCATCTAAGCAAGGCTGAATGAGAATCCTCAGAATCAAGGATAAGTAAAAGAAAATGGGGAACTAAAGAAGCTTTTGATAAAGGGTGTGAGGCCAATTAACTGAGGCGTTTATTGATATTGGGAAAAGAGGGATGTGCTTTAAAAGCTGAAATAAAGTTGAACCAAAACAGGTGTCTGTATTTGAATAACAACTTCAGCTTTTGGAATTGCAGTTCCCTCCAAGTAAAGCTCCAAAGGGAATTTGTGGTGATACCACAAACTTACATGAGGCACGCCCTTGCTTACTCACTCGGGATTTGACCTTGAACTAATAGATATTGTTTGCTTTGACCGGTTATGTATCATTGTTAGCTTCACGATTTTTAAACGCGTCTGCTAGGGAGAGATTTCCACACCCTTATAAGGAATACTCTGTTCCCTTCTCGAACCGATGTAGGATCTCACAATAACATCTTAGAAGTCTCTTAGTTTTTTCCACTTAGTTTCGTGTGAACGGTCATGGAATCTAACGAATCTTGGGTGGTTTTTTGTACTCACTCATAACATCCTAGAAGTTTCTTAAGTAGTTTCTTAGTTTTTTCCACTTAAGTTTCGTTTGAAGTGTGGTGGAATGTAACCAATTTGGGTGCTTTTCTTAGTTGTCCATTTGAAGTGCATGAAATAGTGGGCTCCGTCATTTGTGACCAACTTTTTACAAGAGTTTTGCGACCAACACACCTTAGGTAAGCTGAATGCTCAGTGGTTTCACTTCTCCTCTGCATCTCCTCTGCATGTTAGATTTTAGTCCTAAATTATGATTTATCAGGTATAATTTCGATGCTTACAAAGATGGGTGACAACGTACGAATAGTTCTTTGCTTTTGGTTAAGGGATTGTGGAACCCTTATCTTGAAATAAATAGAAAAAAATGGATTGATATTGGTGGATCTCACTCAATATTAAGGATCAATCTTAAACATGACGGATCTTGCCTTTTTCTAATATAGGAAGTATCAACTTCACTAAGTCTATTTGTAGGAAATTTTGAACCAGACCATTTATACTTACTTCAACAAAGGAAGTGCAGGCTTATTCGATAGAAGATATATATATATATATATATATTCGATAGGTACCATATTTGACCTTCATGATAGGCAAATATGTTGTATCAATTTATCAATTTACTACTCTTTTCATTTATTCCTTTTTCCATATCAAGTGTGAGATTGAATGGTATTATACAGAGTAGAGATATTCACGAGGTGATGCAAGAATGGGAAAGTATTTTCCGTCCTCCACCTCGTATTTCATTCTCCATTCTCGTTAAAATTTCTATTTATTTTTGTAGGGCTCAAAGCGAGGATTCTCTCAGAAAAATTCGTTAAAATTTCCTAAGATGGAAAGCTCTATTAAGGATGGAAAATGGAGAGTAGAAGACAAAAACTTAGGGTGTTTATATAAGATGTAAATGCAAGGCACATGATAAAATAGAAGACACCATCTATGTTGCAAAAAAGAAAAAGAAAAAGAAAAAGAAAAAGAAAAAGAGAAGCCCATTTCTAATTCTTAGCCTTTAAGATATATATATATATATATACCAATAAAATCATTTATTTATTGTAAATCAATGAATCAATTATTAGTACATCAACTTAAAAAAGGAAATATTTTCAAACTAAGAATTATATCCTCTTCAAATAAAAAGAAAACCAGTGGTCACTATTGGCTGTCCATCATCATTATTTTTTGTCTCTCTCTTTTTTTTTTTTTTTTTT